GCCTCCAATCTGTATGAGAAAAGGAAACACGTTAATCATGTGTATAAACATGCTTAATCTTGTCAGTAAATTTTACAACCTGGCACTTGCATCATTCCCAAGCACATTGGGCAGAGTTGAAATAGAGGAATCTGTAGGCAGATATTCAGTGGGAGGGGAGGGGGAGGAAAGGAGTCGGGGGATATATGCAGAAGAGCTGGCCACATTCAATTATGATTTGTGTTGTGGATTCCCTCAACCGTAAGTGACACAAGATCCCCATTTCTCTGATAATCACACTGAGAAGCCAAGAATACTTTGAGGACCAGTGCTATTTTCTGTTGTTGTTGTTGTTGTGTGCCATCCAGTCCATGCCGACCCATAGCAACCCTGTGCACAACAGAACGAAACACTGCCCAATCCTGTGCCATCCTCACAATTGTGCCTGGACTTGAACCCATTGTGACAGCCATTGGGTCAATCTTTCTCCTTCCTCTTTGTCCCTGCCCTGCTGCCAAGCATGATATCCTTCCCCGGGGACTTGTCTCTCCTGACAGTGTGTTCAAACCAGCTGCTCTCTAGGCACCTGTTTACTTCCATTTACTCTAAGCCTATTCCAAATAAGTTCTGTGAAAATCACACGTGCACACACACACACACACACATACACACACACACACACGCATTTTACTTCCTTTTGCTCTGTTGGTTTTGAAACCACCTTCCCTCTTATTCCAACAGGTGTGACTGTACCCCAGGGTACATAGGTGAGCATTGCGACATTGATTTTGACGACTGCCAAGACCACAAGTGTAAAAACGGAGCCCACTGCACGGACGCAGTGAACGGCTACACCTGCATCTGCCCCGAGGGGTACAGGTAAAGCGCAGCTAACAGTGCATACGGTGTGAGTTCGGTCTGACTGGATTCAATTTTCCCTGGTCACTAAGTACAAAGACAATGAACCTGTATTTTTTTGCTCTTCACTCTTCAGTGGCCTGTTCTGTGAGTTTTCTCCACCCATGGTCCTCCCTCGTACCAGTCCCTGTGACCATTCCGATTGTCAGAATGGAGCTCAGTGCATCATCAGGATCAATGAGCCGATATGCCAGTGTCTGCCCGGCTACCAGGGGGAGAAGTGTGAGAAGCTGGTTAGTGTGAATTTTGTAAACAAAGAGTCCTACCTCCAAATTCCGTCCGCCAAAGTTCGGCCTCAAACAAACATCACTCTTCAGGTAAGATGCCTCCTTTCTCTCTAGCAAGACGCAATCTGGCCCTAGACCAAATTCAGCCTCAGTGACGAACCGTCCCTGGGAGCGTCTGGCAGGCAGTGTTCCTTGAGGGAAAGACTTCAGGGGGGCTTTTCCTCGACATTTCTAGCTTCAAAGCCAAATGGAAGTCAAGCACGGTTTAGTCCCTTTAAAGATCCTATAAGGAGCCCTGCTGGTGCAGAGGGTGGCACATTGGACTGCTAATAGCCAGGTGGGTGATTCAAATCCACCAGCCCATCCACAGGAAAAAGATGAGGCTGTCTGTTTCCATAAAGAATTACAGTCTCGAGAGTCACTGTGAGTCAGAATCAACACA